ACCCAAAAACCTTCCTATCCTTCCTTCTTTTTGAGACTTTATTCATAATCTTAACTTTTTCTTCCTCTCAATGCAAGATTTTTCAGAACTAATAAACTTACATATTCCAAATATTATTCAGCATTTTACCAGGAATGCCTTCAGAGAGACCCAGAAAACACAAAACAAAAACTGCTGCCACATTGTTCTGGTCCATCTACCTTTTCTGGTCTCTCTCTCATTTTATTTACTCAAATCCCAGAAAACATAAAACCATATTGGGGGGGGGGGGCAGTGCTGTGGCTTAGTAAGTAAAACCGCCACCTGCAGTGCCAGCATTCCATATTGAGTCCTGGCCTCTCCACTTTGATCCAGCTCTGTGCTATGGCCTGGGAAGGCAGTGGAAGATGACCCAAGTCCTTGGGCTATTGCACCCACGTGGGAGACCCAGAGGAGGCTCCTGGCTCCTGGTTTCGGATTAGCACAGCTCTGGCCATTGCAGCCGTTTGGGGAGTGAAGCAGCGGATGGAAGACCTCTCTCTCCCTCTCTCTCTGCCTCTGCCTGTCTGTAACTTTGCCTTTCAAATAAATAAATAAATCTTTAAATAAATATTGGGGATTTCTGTTAGCTCCTAGGATCACACTTTGTCTATTTTATTCTGTTACTTATAATAAGTCAGGCTTTATATTATTCAACTCCCTCTCCCCTGAACACTACTGATCCATCATTACTTATCTCATTTGTATATTCATACTATCTTCTCTCCTGAAATTTTTACCCTCATGTTTTTAGAATAATCAATTCTCATTTTCTAATTTCCCTGTGAATTGACTTTTCTTTTTATGCTACCCAAAGAAGCCTTTTATTTAAGGAATGCAAACTTCATGCATTTCATAAGTACAACTTTAGAAATACAGTGATTCTTCTTACCATACTTGCCCTCCCACCCCTCCTCCTCCCTCTCCCATTCCTAGTCCCATTCTCCACTAATATCCATTTTCAATTAACTTTATTCACAGAAGACCAACTCTATACTAAATAAAGAGTTCAACAATATATTACAATTTCTTTGATGGAAACTGTACACATTAAAATCCAGCTCCTGGGGCCAGCATTGTGACACAGGGTTAAGCTGCTGCATGTGACACCATTATCTCATGTGGGTTCTTCTCATACTGGTTCAAGTACCAGCTGTTCCACTTTCCATCCAGCTCCCTGCCAATGTACCTGGGAAAAGCAGCAGAGGATGGCCCTTGCTTGAGCTCCTGCCATCCACATGGGAGACCTGTATGGAGGCTCGAGGCTCCTGGCCTTGCCCACCCCCAACTATTGCAGCCATTTGTGTGGATGGAAGGTCTCTCTCTGTCGCTGTCTCTGTCTCTCATTCTCTGCGACTCTGCCTTTCAAATAAATAAATAAATCTTTTTAAAAAAAAAAAATCCAGCTTCTAGGGTGACTAATCCGTATGTGAAAGGAATAATGTAAAAAAGGAAGAATACTAAGTCATGAGTTTAAAGAACACTTATAGAGGGGCAGTGGATGGAATTGGGGTGGAAGACAAAAGCAGACAGCATCTATTTTTAATTTATAATTTCTTCTTTATATCCTGTGTCTTCTATGTAACCAGTACTTGCTGAGTATTATAGAGAATGCAAAAGGAAGTAAATTATATAGTCCTTGTCCATGAAAAATTTACAGTTGAAAAGTTCAGTTGACATAAATATTAAATAATGTCAGGTAATATATGGGTATAACCATACATGTATACTTGATTGTGTACTCTAAGTCTCAAGAGGTGTTCCACGTGCTGTAGGTCTTAGGAGGCATACCATTAGTGAAAGTGGTGAAGGAAAAAATGAAATCATCTTTCAAGGTGATAGACATAGGCTATTGAAGGAGAATTAGGATTTGCTTAGGTGTAAAAAAGATTAGTAATTGTTGAAGCCTAGGTGAATCTTTCAAGATGGGGAGGTATAGATGAAAAGGAAATATTCCTGTATTTTTCGGAAGACCAGCCTCACTACAGTAACTATTTTGTGAACAATGAAAGATTAAATTGGGTAAGTGTACATTTGGGTAAATCATACTTCTGTGTGGGCCCACTGTTCTGTTTCATCAATGAATGATATTGGAGGGAGAAATTTCATTTCATAGTAAATGCTGTTATCTACTCATGTGAATATTTCACAAAATACATAGAAAAATAGAATTAAGGATAAGCTTATTTTGGTGCAAAAAATATAAAATCAGTACATATAAGTCATCTTCAGAAAGCTCATCGAAAATGTATTCATGAAAATTTAAGCATGTTTTTCAAAAATTATTTGCACCAAAATAAACTGCTCTTTTAATTCCATTTTGCATGAACTTTTTGGAGTGCCCTTGTGTATGATTTTTCTTACATGCAGTATACCTCAGAAAAACTCAGCCTTTTCATTAGTGCAAGTGAAATTCACAAATACTAGATCTGTTATAGCTAAGGAAAGGGTTGTTGATATTTCTTATGCTCAACCTACTTTGCCTGAATTTAGGAACTGATATCTCAAAAGACTAGAGAAAATCTACTGAAATCTACTCAGTAGATTTGAGCTGTATTTTTGCATACGCTAATTAGATGCTAACCTCGAAGCTCATGGACTCTGAAAGTTGACTTAGCCTATGGTAATCATTTTTGACAGCTTTTAGAATGAATTAGATTACCTTGCATGTCAGCACATCGTTAGATCGATGTTTAAAAGCATCACCAAAGAATGTTTTAAAACATAGTGTACACTGAGTATTGAACTATGTGCTATGTATAAGTGCTTACGGAGACTCAATGTCTTATTTAGCCAACATAATCAGCTTTTCAAACAGAGCCATGGCATTGTTTCACATTTAACCATGTATTTAGGTTTATAAATTGCCAGTATTGATGTTGCTCTCTAGAGTACTCATGGTTTGTCAGGTTTTAAAACTGTGCTTATGTTTTGTATATGTCTGAAAAATACTGCTAGTGTTGCACATCTATCATAATGAAAACTGGCAAGGAATAACTGGAAGAGGCCCATTATTTGTTCTATGTTTCATTAGATCAATTACTATGCATGGCCATTAAAAGGACATTTTTTTGTATTGCCCTGGTTGGCTACTTAATACAGTAGAGTTGCTGCAAGCTGATGCTGTGAGAAGTGTGATTGTTTATAAATGTCCATTTTAAAGGACTTGAGATTCAGTCATAACAGTTAGCTCCAGGTTGAAATTTGATGATCTAAGTCTATTCTAGGACATGTAGAGGGAAAATTGCTTGTTATTTTTGTTTTCCAAATGCAAGCTTGTTTTGAATAACTCTTCACTTAAGGATTTGGTTGCATTTGTTCAATACCACAGAGACTTTCTTTTTGAAAAACTAAATTATCTCCGTTAGTTTCTTCTATGAACTAGTATGTGTGATGATAGTCGTGACTCGTTTCAATTTAAGAAAATGAGTTGCTGCATAGGTGAGGTAGTATTCGAATCACTTTAAAAGTTCATGTCAGTGTTTTGGTTCTTTTCAATTTTTCCTTTTTCTTTCTTTTCTTTTGTTTTGTTCAATTCTGTTCTGTTTTGTTTTGTTTTGTTTTTATTTATTTACTTAGTTTTTAAAGGGGCGTTTGGGAATCTCCATGGCCTTGCTGCATACTTGGCTGGCCATATTTAGTCTGCGTACTAATTGTTAGTTGGCCCAGTTGAGTCTTACTTTGTGCTCTCAGTTCTTTTAGTCTGGCTTTCTATTTTTGTCTACCTGGTTGTGTTTTGAGATTTTTATTCTTATGGGCCGGATTTTAATCCGTGTACTAAATTTTAGTCTGCAGACTAAAAGTAATCCGCGGATTATTTATTTTTGTAAAATATTTAATTCCCCCACTGGAAACTATCCTAAAAGAATGTTAAATTCTCCTAGAATAGTCAAGGGAGTTCACAGCTACTGGTGAGTTCAGCCATTTTTTGTTCTCAATACCTAGACATAATAGACCCTACCACCTCCCTTGCTTATTTGGCTCCGTTGTGCCTAGGTGTTGGTATACATTACTATGCATGTCACCTGTAACTGTGACTGTCCCTTAGTTGTATTGTTCATTGTATATATTTTTGTTTAGCTTTTGGTGGGTGAATTGGGCATATTTGCAGATGGAACTGTGTTGAATTTGTAGTGCTCAAAGATGTAGAATTATATTTTCATTGAGTTTTTCCAAAAAAGAGTGTTCTATATTTATTTTTCCTAAGTAATGGGTGCAAGGGTATGAGGAGGCAATGCCCACAATAGAAAAAGTAAGTTTATACCCGCACTCCTGAGGTGATAATGTCAATTTCCTGAAGAGTTCTAAGATAAAGAGAATGTCAGCAATTGAACATCTTTTAGCAGGGAAGTCAATCCAAAATGAAGAATAATCCGCGGTGGCCTGATCCTTCTTAGCTCACACAAATTGAAAATATCTGGCTTAAAATCTATAGTAATATAGATTAACTATATATATTACTTTCCTCTCATCACTAATAATTTAGCAAAAAATGTTTATACTGTATAACTGGAACACATTAATAAAAATTAGCATATTGAGAACTTAAACCTTTAAAAACAAGCAAATGTGCCCCCTCCCAGCCATATCTATGGATGATGAATCCAGGTCATAGAAGACCACTTTACTTTGGGAACTTTACTTCTAGATTTCATTTTGATTTAACTTTTTTTGGTTTTGTATTTTTTTAATAAACACACTGGCATTGGAACATAATAAATTAAAATTAAAAATGTTTCTTTACTGTGCCTCACCATTGCACAATCAAAAATTTTTGGCATACACTGTGGTGAAATAATTTTTAAAACTTGGACTTGCTACTGTGGAGACTGATGTTTAAAGTTTATAACTGTATAAACATTTCTATGTCCCCCCCACACCATGGATTTCTTATAACATTGGATATATTTTTCCTTGCTGTACTATTCTCTTTTGGATTGACTTCCCCTGTTTGGATTATTTCACTGAATTATCATCTTTAGGATTCGTCAGGAACAGGACGTTTCACCTCAGGAGTGCGGGTATGTACTTAATTTTTTCTTTCCCAAAATTTCAGGGCAGGTCTATAAAACTCGGGGGAAAAATTTTTCTGAAATGCTGAACAATTGTTCATTGTTGAAATGTAGTACTAAAAACATCTTAGGTACCTGTGATTTCTGTTTTCATTCCTTGTGTGGAACAGGTTTTGCTTATGGTGTATTTAGATTGTCAGTCTCCCAGGTGATTCATTCATAAATATCTAGACTGAAGTTTAAGAATTATAGGCTTTTAACATTATTCTTACCAGATTAAATATTGATGAAGATTCATGAAACCAGATTCTGGGTGTTAAGCAATTTCAGTGAGTAAGGAATGACATGGAAGCCAAAACTTCTTAATCAAAAGCCAAATTTCAGTAGTTCTTAGTTTCTGTTTTAGACATAACGGTATTTCTACTTTGGCCTGTAATATTGTAAATTGCATTCTACCACACCCTGTATTATGGTCAGAAATCTAAACTCTGGGAGATACTGGGTTTTGACCCCACATAATTTTCCACTTAACCTTTGTCCACAGAATACTGAACCAAGGCTTTTCTCATCAAGAATCTCTCAAAGGGTTTAAAGTAACAGCGGATACTTTTTGTAAAGGCAGGTTAAATCTTGATTTTTTTTAATGTAGGCTCTTGAAATGATTTTTTTTTATTGTTTTTAACTCTGATTCCATGAGTTAAGATCTCTGACAAAATAAGCTAATGTATGTCTTAGTACCAATATGGATGGTCACTTATAGCTAGAAAAATACCAAAAAGATATAAATGACTTTTAACAGAAAAAAATCAGAAATAAGCTTATAACACTGGTTTATTAAAATCTTTAACACAAAGTCTTTATTAATATAACATGAAATTTTTTAATTTGAAGTAACTAGCCATTCAGATATCCTACAGTTGAACATTAGCAAGACTTTATTTTTACCTTTGGTACTACTTTTAATTCTGCTTATGTGATACCATATTGGTGCAAAAGCATTTTTGCTAGCTAGCAAAGTAAATCCATATCAAAAAGATGCAAACTGGCCTCAGGGATAAAATATGTCAGTAGTGTGTAATATTTTTGTGACAACTTTTCTGAGTTTTTCACTGATTTATATTCTTTTTGCATTCTGGATTTGATTGTGGACCTTGGGAGCAAGAAAAGGGAAAAATGACCAAGGACAGCGGAAGAGCTAAATATTTCAAGTAATACAAAAAGTTTGCTTGACTGAAGCAAGCCAGCGTATTTAAAAATATCAAGATAAGGCAGGTTTTGCCCTCACAGTGGCTTTCTAACATAGCCAATAAATTGAGGCCTTCTAAGGTTCTGAAATAAATTCCCAAAATGCTACTGTCTTCATTTTCAGAAAATATATTTTACAGTAATAGAATATATGTGAAAGTATAATACAATAAAGAGCATTTTCATTGTAGAAAGTGCTTATATAAAGGCTTTTGAAGCTCTAATGAACTCTGTAGTTGTAACTAGTTCTCTTATCTTCAGTCAGCTTAAGCAACTAGTCAGATATTACAGAGCCATTCTCATTAGGAAACCTAACCTCCCAGGCTCCACCATGCCTTGTCACAGTCTGCATGTCCTTTCCTTGCTGGTGAGTCTACTTCCCTCATTTCCTTACACATGTCTGCTTCTCTTTATGTCTGTCTACCTCCACCACCACACCTTTTATTTGGTTATATGTTCTTCCTATCAAGGACTGTATGTTTTCTTTTTCTTTAGTTTCAAAGGCTTTTTGTTCATCTGTTTTTGGTGATTTCTGATTCTTTCCCTCTGGTTCTATTCTTTAGCCATAATTTAGAATGGAGTTTATTTTGTGGTTTTATATATATACAAGTATTAACACATAAATGAGTATAAAGCTATGTATTCCTTTAAGAATATTAATTATATTTTATTTCAATATAGCCTTCAGTTGACTTTTTCTGTGATTTAATGGCTCTTAATGAAGACTACCTTTTTCTCTCCCTGATTAAAATTCTAGTACTGTCATTCTAATGAGAATAATCTGGCCACATTCATGATAATAGTTGCTTCAGAAAACAGTGTCAGACATTTTGTCAAATTCTCGATACTAAAGAATTTGTTCAAATTAAGATAGGTTCTGTTACTGAGAAGAAAATACCACCTCATTAGCATTTATTGACTTTGAATGACAGTGTTTTTCTTTTTTTCTGATTGCCGAATTTGAATAGTTCCATCCATTATCAATAATTGTTCTGCTAAAAATAATGCAAAAGAGGCAATCTTATATTTACTACCACAGCTGTCGAACTTTAAAATTTTTTCTACTCTTCTAGTTGTGCTTGCCTCTAGAACCCAGCCTTTCTCATATGCCTGTCATATTTTGTATGCATGTTTGATTGTCCTGCTTCATGACTAGCATATGTAGACTACTCACTGAGCTTTTCTTATATAGTCTTTAACTAGCAGTTCACCCCAGTGTGGTGAGTCATAAGCAGTTAACTCTTTTCATTCTGGAAGATTCCTTTCCCAAATGTAACCATGTTTTTGTACATGGTGGGAATTAACTAAATACTGAGTTATTTACATACATTCTTATAATAAAACATTAATTGTTCCCTCCTTTATTTTGTACTACAGGTCTTCCGACCCCGAACTCCACCAGAGGCAATTGCACTGTGTAGCCGTCTGCTGGAGTACACACCAACTGCCCGACTGACACCACTGGAAGCTTGTGCACATTCATTTTTTGATGAATTACGGGACCCAAATGTCAAACTACCAAATGGGCGAGACACACCTGCACTCTTCAACTTCACCACTCAAGGTAATTCCAAACACTTTGTTCTTTTATTTTTATTTTATTTTATTTTATTTTTGACAGGCAGAGTTAGACAGTGAGAGAGAGACAGAGAGAAAGGTCTTCGGTCTGTTGGTTCACCCCCCAAATGGCCGCTATGGCCAGTGCGCTGTGCTGATCTGAAGCCAGGGGTCAGGTGCTTCCTCCGGGTCTCCCATGCGGGTGCAGGGCTCAAGGACTTGAGCCATCCTCCATTGCCTTCCCGGGCCACAGCAGAGAGCTGGACTGGAAGAGGAGCAACCGCACAGAACCGGCACCCCAACCGGGACTAGAACCCGGGATGCCGACGCCACAGGCGGAGGATTAGCCTAGTGAGCCACAGTGCCGGCCAACACTTTGTTCTTTGACCATTTCTGTAGAAGTTACTAGGTGCAAAACAAAATTCCATTAAAATCTATGGAGGAAAATATTGGACATATTAAGTATTCATGGATGTAGGAAGCTTCCTCTCTAAATTATCAGACCACTACTCACATGGTTTTCAGAAAACAGTGGCAAGTAAGATTTTTTCTAATAGGCATAGCTTCTCTAGTTTTGATAGATTATAAAATCACAAAGATTTCACTGAGTGGTATTTACCACTAATAACACTAATAATTTAAATTTTAACTGTTGAGTTTGAATTTTTATTTACTTCCATTTCATTTGAAAGGCAGAGAAAAAGAATATCTTCCATCTGCAGATTCATTCCCCAAATGCCTACAACAGCTGAGGTTGGGCCAGGATGAAGCTAGGAGTAGAGAACTCCATCCATGTTACCCATGTGGGTGGCAGGGACCCAAGTACTTGGGCCATCATCTGCCTTCCCAGATGCATTAGTGGGTAGCTGATTGGAAGTGGGAGTACCAGGACTCAAACTGTGCACTCTGGTATAGTGTATGGGTGTCCCAAGCGGTGTCCCACTGCACCAAACATCTGCCTCTGTATCAAGTTTTTTAAAACCTGAGAATGAAAGCGGTGATTTTAGTGACTTATATTGAGTTATCTTACACACAGGAGGAAAACTATAAATCATTTCTAACTATTTCACAGGGGATATATACAGAGAAATCCCTCTGGGACTTGGTACCATTGCTACTGCTGAGAAAAGATTGAAAGAAAAATGGAGTTTTGTGCATTCATTGATGGTTTCTCAAAGATTTAGTGATACTCATTTCCGCACCACTTCTCATTTCCTTTCTCTTTGATTAAAATCCTAAGTGATTTGTTCAGTCAGTCACAACAGCCTTTGATGATGTGATTATCTTCTTAAACTGACTATAAGAAGTATACAATTCAGGACAGATAAAATAAATTGATGTATTAGTTGATTGGTAAACTTAGACTAGATGGAAAACGTTCTGTCTCCAAGAAAGCAATGCATTTCCTTTAATCCGAGGTGAATGTTTTCTCCATACTTAATTTTTTCTAAAATTTAGTAGAGAGATGAATGACACAGTTTATGTAAAAGATCTGAGTTGATAATAAAATAAACTTGAATAGCTTAGTTGACTATAAATTTTTTAAAGATTTTTATTTATTTATTTGAAAGAGTTACAGAGAGAAGGAGAGGCAGAGAGAAGTCTTCTGTGGTCCACTGGTTCACTCCCCAGTAGACTGCAATGGCTGGAGCTGTGCTGCCCTGAAGCCAGGAGCTTCTTCCAGGTCTCCTACGAAGGTGTAGGGGCCTAAGGACTTGGGCCATCTTCTGCTTTCCCAGGCCATAGCACAGAGCTGGATCTGGATCGGAAGTGAAGCAGCCAGGACTTGAACCGGCGCCCACATGGGATGCGGGCACTGCAGGCAGCAGCTTTACCCACTACACCACAGTGCCAGTCTAATTATCAATATTATATAACCATTATCAATGCTGATGTTACCTACCTTTTTAAAAAATTCCAGAAACCCTGGGACCATTAATTCTATTTAAAGATGATCAGAAACCTTTTTGAATGTTGTTTTGAGTAGTATTTACACCATTTTAAGAATATTAGTGAGGTTGGCCAGCACTGCGGCTCACTAGGCTAATCCTCCGCCTTGCGGCGCCGGCACACCGGGTTCTAGTCCTGGTCGGGGTGCCGGATTCTGTCCCGGTTGCCCCTCTTCCAGGCCAGCTCTCTGCTGTGGCCCGGGTGTGCAGCGGAGGATGGCCCAAGTGCTTGGGCCCTGCACCCCATGGGAGACCAGGATAAGTACCTGGCTCCTGCCTTCAGATCGGCGCGGTGCGCTGGCCGCAGCGGCCGTTGGAGGGTGAACCAACGGCAAAGGAAGACCTTTCTCTCTGTCTCTCTCTCTCTCACTGTCCATTCTGCCTGTCAAAAAAAAAAAAAAATTAGTGAGGTGCCAGCACTGTGGCATAGTCGGTTAAGCCCCAACCTGCAGTGCCAGCTTCCCATATGGGTGCCAGTTCGAGTCCCGGCTGCTCCACTTCTGATGCAGCTCCCTGCTAATGTGCCTGCGAAAGCTTTGGAAAATGGCCCAAATACTTGGGCCCCTGCACCCACATGGAAGACCCTGAAGAGGCTCCTCAGCTCTTGCCATTGTGGCCATTTGGGGAGTGAGCCAGCAAATGGAAGATCTCTCTCTTACTTACTCTCTCTCTAATTCTACCTTTCAAATAAAATAAATAAATCTTTAAAAAAAATATTAGTGAATAGTGGGTAGGGTATTCAGAGAAGCAGAATTAATGTAGAGCCTGGAAAAGGGAAGACTTAAGGTACTCCTTGATAAATGATAAATGTCTAAAAATACTTCAAGACTATCTCATAAAGCAAGGAGTAAGCATATGTTCTTTCTACAGATAGCAAACTTTTCAATAGTAGCAGCAAATTCCAGGGCTATTTGGATTTGGACTTAATATAAAGACCTCAGTATCCAGCACAAATATGGGCTGAATTTTTATTAATGAATCAGTGAAAAAAATTTTCAGTTAACAGTGTAACAACTTGTTTTCAAAGTATTCCTTTCTGTACCTGGAAGTGTTCAGGGGAAGTCTGGAGATAGCCAAAAATTGTTTGTCGGGTTACTCATATATGGCAAAAGTTTCTTTCTTTTTTTTTTTTCTAAGATGTATTTATTCAAAAGAATGGGGAGAGAGAGAAAGAAGCCTTCCGTCAGTTGGTTCACTTCCCAAGTGGCTGGAGTGGTCAGGGATGAGCCAGACCAAAGCTGGAAACTTCATTGGGGTCTCCCACATGGGTGACAGGGCCCCAAGCGCTTAGGCCATGTCTGCTGTGTTTCTCAGGTCATTAGCCTAGAGCTGGATCAGAAGCAGAGCAATTGGGATGTGAATCAGCGCCCATGTGGTTACCATCATTGCAGACGGCAGCTTTACCTGCTACGCCACAATGCCAGCCCCAATTTGGCAGAGGGTTAAACTGCATGACTCTATCACCATTTTTCAGAGCAAAACATCTGTGAATTCATGTTATATATTTTAGGCTCTGCTGAGAAAATAAATTTTATTTATTTATTTATTTATTTATTTATTTATTGACAGGCAGAGTGGACAGTGAGAGAGACAGAGAGAAAGGTCTTCCTTTACCATTGGTTCACCCTCCAATGGCCGCCATGGCCGGCGCGCCGCGGCCGGCGCACCGCGCTGATCCGATGGCAGGAGATTGGGAGAATATTAGACCTTTCAGTTTTCTAGCAGAGGGGCTTCATTGTTCTGTGACCTCTTGAGGGTGTAGTCTGCATTACACGTTGGAAACCAAGGTGAACCTTTGACAGGCCTCCTTCTCTCCCTGTCCTCTTCTTAATAGACGTAAAAGATAGAATATAAGTGAATGACCCTAGGAAGCAGCTGGAAACAGGAAAGACCAACAGGATTATTATTTTTTTTATTCACTAATTAGTGAATACCTATTCTACTAATGCCTATTCCAAGACTGGAATATATCAGGAAATAAGTTGTTTTATATGTTTAAAGGGAACTCTTCCCTCCAACTCTACCAAACACAGTTCCTAGTCCCGTTTTTTTTACCCAAAATTTGCAACATGCAGACTCAGCAGACTGGATGTCTTAGGGTAGAGAGGCATGAGAAAAGAGGTTCCAGAAAGCAAGTGAAAAAAAGGACAATAGAGGCTGGTATTTGGCACAGCAGATAAGTTGCCTTTTGAAGTACCAACATACCATATCCAGTCACTTGAGTTTGAGTGCTGGCTCCATTCCTGATTCCAGCTTCCCTTCTGTTCCCCTCCCCTCCCATCTCCTCTGCTCTCCCAGAGTATCTCTGCCTTTCAAACAAAATTAATAAGGTTTTTTTCTTTTTACAGAAAAGCACAGTAAAAGAAAGATTAAGAATAAAAGGAAAATTTGAAAAAGGATCAGAGAGATTTTAAAACAGTATAGGAATGTGTTACAGAATGGGAACAGATGAAATGAGAGAATTGAAAAGAAGTTGGTGATGGGCAACAAAAGCAAGTGGTTTAGAAGCCCAACCCATTAGAAAGCTATAGGCTACTTATTTATAAATTTGCTGTAACTCATTACTTATAATTAGGAGGTTCAATGACCTTTGTAGCAATGGTTTTTATAAATGTATTTTCCTGTTAAAAATAGTGATAGACTTAAATATGTTTTTCTGTTTATCTGCCTTTCAATGTCTTGAGAATTTTCCTCAAAGCTTGCCTTTATCTTTACACATCTAAAGTAACAACACATTGTTACAACACCCTGAGGTAATCAAGTTATCTTCTGATATTATTTGCACATTACAATGAACACTGAGGTCGAGCTTTTGCTTCTCACACTTAAAATTTATAATTTACATTAGAAATGATAAATTTACATAGGTTAGGCTGGTGCCCAGGCTTGCTGGGCTAATCCTCTGCCTGCGGCGCCAGCACCCCGGGTTCTAGTCCCAGTTGGGGCACTGGATTCTGTCCAGATTGCTCCTCTTCCAATCCAGCTCTCTGCTGTGGCTCAGGAGGGCAGTGGAGGATGGCCCAAGTGCTTGGGCCCTGCACCCACGTGGGAGGCCAGG